TTTAATTTATTTTAATAATATAAAATTAAAGAAAAATGATGGAGGATATATAAATTGTTATCAAATATTTATTATTAGAATCATTAAGTGTCATATATATATATTAGTCATTTATGGTAATTCCGTAGGTTTTATTTATGGAAATAATATAGTAATTATATCTTAGGGAAAAATCATTAAGTGTCATATATATATATATATTAGTCATTTATGGTAATTTCGTAGGTTTTATTTATGGAAAGAAAATAGCATATCATATCATTATATCATATAGTTTGACTAACTAATATATCTAGCAACCTATAAAAATCCAATGTGGACTTCCTTATTTTTCAATTGAATCTAATTGACTACCTAATTGAATGACACCTATGCATTGGGATATAAACTAATATTTTTTTCTGATAAATAAATCCCTTAAATATGTAAAGTGATGAATATTTCCGTAACAAGTTGACAAAAAGACATTCGTTACATTGTGTATATTTTCCACGAAATAATTACCACTAGATTTTGATCCGCGCAACCGCACAAATATTTATTTTCACTTTTATATATATAAATATTTATTTTAGAACATAAATGATATATTAATCAAAAAATTAAATGTTTATATAACTATTTCAAATATAATTTTTTTTATAATTTACATTATACTAATCAATTATTAAAAACCATTTGTATTTGTCACTTCTTACTATATATTTATCTTATTTTATTTGTATTTAGTTATCAAGAAAATTAATATATTCATAAGAAAACATAGTTGAAAATTATTTTATATTTAATATATGATAAATTCTGACCTTTTCTTCAAAGCTAGACTTTATTTTACCAATATTTTTATGTTTATTCATTTTAAATAATATATTATTGTACATATAAAATTCTAATATATGATAATTTATATAAAAGTCTAATATATGATAATGATATACATGTATGATATAGTTTGCTAATGGTAACCCATCTTGCCAACATACTAGAATTTATTTTTGAACAAAAATATTTTTTATTTACGAAGATAAAATATATAAATTTATCAATTTAATAAAATTTTATTATATTTAGCTCAATACCATATTTTTTTTAATATGATTGATTATGATTATATAATAGATAATATGATTTAATTTATTGTTTTATATTTTATAAACTTAACGGTATATATTAATGTATAATAATATTTCAAACTAAATTCGAAATTAGAGAAAATATTTAAAGATAATATCAAAAATGAAAATATTATAAAAATATTTCAAACAGATTTGTTAGAATTTAGATAAATATATTTATATTTTAAATAAAAATATATCATAAAATATTATGATTAAAGTATTTCAAATATTCTATATATTTTATTTTTAATAAAATATATATAGTAAAAGTTTCTAATGATAATCTATATTTTTAATAAATCACACATGAATCAAGATCATGATTTCTGTTTTAATATATAAAATGTCTGAAGTAATAATATTACTTAGCATTTTTTATTGATTTAATATGTAGATATATTTTCATCAGCAAGAGATGTGATCTGTGGAATTACCTTTTAATAATACGTTTAAATCTATTTGTGGTTTTCAATCAGCTGATTATAGTAAGTTTAGAAAATGTAATGGTACAATATGGCGGTATAAACAATATATATATATATATATATATATATATATATATATATATATGTGGGGATTTAAGAAAGATGAGAATGTTATTTTTGGTATGCTATATACTTTCGAATTTATGGTTGGTGATTATAATAACAGTAGACTCTTCACCGCATGATTAAAAAAGAAATACTAATCAGACTTGTATCAAGTTGACAAAAATATGGCTTTGTTTTATTTTCGGTTGGTTGGCCAATAAAATATGATAAGGTATGTGTGTGGCTGTGCTGTTGGCTCCTTATCTTCACACGTTGCAGCATCATACTATAACATTGTGTAATCAGGTAGAATCACTGAGAATTTAATTAGAACTAGATTTTGATCCGCGCAACCGCGCTGGTGTTTAATTTCATTTATATATATAAAATATTTATTTACATCATTATTGGTATATATTATTAACATCAATTATATATTTAAATATTTATTTAAGTATTCAAATACAATAATTTTATAGTTTACATATTATAATTGTTCAATTGTTTAAAACTATCATATGTATCTTATTGAATTTGCATTTGACTATTAAATGAACTAATATATGCATTAAACAACAAAATATAAAAATTAATTTGTATTCTATTATGTTAAATTCTTACTCAAACTTCAAAGATCTATATTACTTTTTCAGCAAATTTTTATGTTTATTAATTTTAGATAATATATTTTTGTACATATAAAAATTTAAGATATTTTAATTTCTATGCATGTATTATATATAGTGTATGTTACCCCGTTTTGCCAACATATTATTATTTTAACATAAATATTTATATGTATGGAAATAAAATATATTAGTATATCAACTTAATATAATTTATCATATTTATTTTAATATAATAATTAATTTATTATGATTTTTCATTTTATAAATGGTTACTGAATGTATATTAATGTGTAATAGTATTTTATTATTAGTTATGAAATTAATGAAAATATTTAAATAAATTGAAAAATTGAGATATTGTTAAAATATTTTTCAAAAAATTTGTTAGAATTTTAAAAATTGAAAGATATCAAAAGATATTATCATTAAAGTAGTTACACATGTTTTATTATTAGCTGTAATGAGATATATTTATAAATTTCTAAGAGAAGGTCCAACTTAAAAAAATACACATGAAATGGGATTGTTACTTCTATTTAATAGATTAGATTTTTTTAATATTTGAGATAGAAATGAATATTTTTTTTATAACAGAGTATATTTAAAGTCTTTGTAAAATGATTATTCAGAATTAGTGAATTTATTTTTCTAATTATCATTAAAATATAAGTAAATTATTTTATATAATTTTCATTTTTTATAAATTAAAAGTAAATTAATTATAATTTCTAATTATAGTTTATGATAATTAGAATTTAAATTAAAGATTTTGATTATTATGTGATACATGCTAAAGATGTAATACAACTTCCATGTTCTAGCGAGTGTGAAGCTTGGCCAGTATACATTCTAAGAACCGGTTAATTTTATTTTGTTAAGTTTATTTACTGTATAAACCGAACCGGCTGAATAGTTAAACTACAAACTAAAAATGGTGATCAGAACTGGTTAAGTCTGATGTATGAATTTGTTTAATAACTGTATAAACTGGACATGTTGAATAATCAATCTAATCATGAATTAGGAATGATGGTATGAATCGGTTAAACCTGATTGTGGTTTGTTTATTAATTGTATAAACCGAATTGGTTGAGATGACTCTAATTTAGAAAAGGTTAGGTTCGATATAAGCATATTTTTAAACATAGATATACTAAAGCTGACGTATTTATTCATTAATGATGCAAATATATGATGGTTAACCGAACCGTTTTTCAAGGCGTAGTAAGTAGTTATAGTAACGAATATATATAGTAGCTTTATTAAGTCATAAAATATTATTAAGAAATTTTTTTTTTTTTGTAACACTATTAAGAAATATATAAAATATGATTTCTTAGGGAGAGTCCATTTATAAAAAAAAAATCACATATCAATAGAAGTTGTGACTTCTATTTTAATATATAAGATATTTTATCGTGAGATTGGTATTGGTCAATGGTCACATTGTAAGAAGCCCTATTTTTTCTTCTAGATGCTTGATTTTTCTTTTCAGAGTTTCATTTATTTATATTCCTCAAAATCTTAGTTTCTCTTTTTTATATAGATCATGTCTTTTGTTCTCCACCAAAAGGATTCCTATAGTTACCTTTTTATAATATTTTCTCAACAGCAAATATAGAACAAAGCGTGAGAAGTCAAAAAAAGAGAGATTGAGAAATCAAGTTATTGAGAGGATA